TTTTCTATAGGGCACATGCGCTCGCCAGAAAGACACACAGAGACAGAGACAGAAAGCGAGAAATCACTCCGCGGGTGGGATGGCCACACCGCAGTCCCTTCTACTCCATTCTCCTCGGGATCTTGGGCACGCATGCACACGCGCCCAGTGTGAGTTTAAGCCACCAGATCCGAGACTTGAACTGTGGTCAGCTACATGGGAGTCCAGCGACATAGCCATTGTGCCAACTGCTAGTCCCTCTGGTCACGTTTCATTGCCCCACACAGAGCAACGAGCGTGCACCTCTTCTGAAAGGCCAGTGTGTGCCCAGCTATCCGCAGCCCTCCCTGCCACTTTGCAGGTGAGCCAGAGACCCCAGCTGGGCCCCTGCCCGGCCTCTGGAAGCCTCTGCAGAGCTCCTGGGCTCCCGTAGGGGTCCTGCAGCCGGGCCGTGGAGCTGAGGACGAGGCCAGAGGTGTCCTTTTCCTCCAGCCAGGATTTCTTTGCAGCCTCCTCTCCTGTGTCATGAGCGTGGTAGGTCTACTGTTCCATGTGTGCATGTGCATGTCCGTGTGTGCACACATGCTGAGAACCCCTGCACCATGTGGGGACTTTGTACGAGATCAGGGTGACCCCCGCCAAGGGGCCTGGTCCGACATCCGGCTCCCTGTGGGCAGAGGCTTGTAATGGGCAGGGTCCTGCTATCCGCCAGGCAGCCCCCCAGGCTGCCATGTCTGTCCTGAGGGTATTGTTGGGGTCCTCACAACCCCAGATGGCCCTGCCTCCACCCTGCAGGTGGATGTGGCCCATCCATCCCTCAGTTTGCAAACCGAGGCTCTGGTGGGTGTTCTCAGCAGTGGGGCTTCCGCTACGCTTGCACTAGGGGGCCGGGTGGAATCGGAGGTCAAGGGCCTCTAGTTCTTCTGCCCTGAGCAAGGCCTTGGGCTCTTCACAGCCCCCAGACAAGCCCCAGAAGCCCAGGGCCACAGTCCTGCCTGGAAAGCCCATCAGCCTGCCAACAGCTCAGGCCAGCAGGGCCCGAGCAGCAGAGCTGACACTGTTCCTGCAGGTGGGCCTGGCTGGCCAGAGGAGGGCCAGCCAGGGTCACATCGCTGGGCTCCCCAACCCCCGGCTTCGGAGGGCCACCCCTGCCTCTCGCCTCTCGCCTCTCACCGCCAATTGGACTTCGTTGCCAGAGCCCAGCCCCACACCCAGCAGGGCCTCTTCACCTTGCCTGGCTTCGAGCAGGTGTTCTCTGAGGACAGGGCAGGTCCCACCAGAGGGTCTGTACCCCTTCTCACTGCCCCATCTCCTTGCCCTGGAAGCAGCTGCCCACACCCTGCAGTGGACACACAGCCAACCCCACTGGGTCACCCTGTCCAGCTGGCAGCAGGGGCTGCACTGTTGCCGTGGTGATAAGTCAGGCTGGCCTCCCTGAATTGGGAAGAACGGGAGGATGGACAGTAGTAGGTGTCAAGTCTGGGCAGGGCTGGTGCTCTGCGGTGGGAGCTAAGATCAGAGGAGACTCAGGGCACGGCTGGGGCTGACTACTACTGTGGCCACTCTGTCCCCAGGCACATGTGTGCACACTTATAGACCCCTCAGAGGGCCGGGCTATCACAGAAGGGGAGCGTGGGGTGGGAGGTACCTCAGAGGCCACACCCACACACTCCCTCTCTGGCTGCCCTGACACTCAGGCCCATCCTGGGTCCTCTTCCCCTGCCCTGGGGGCCTTGGGCACCCGTCGGCCCCACCGACCAGGGCCTCCTATAGTGGCCTGTTTGCAGCTGTGCACTGGACAACCTGTAGGTTTGCCCACCACATCCTGGCCATCTCCAGCACCCCCCCCAGCCTAGCCTCCTTCCCACCCACCTGTCCTCTCCTGGCTACTGTCCCGGTCCCACCCTTGTCCTTGGCCCTAGGCCATACCCATCTCCCGCAAGTTGCTGTCCTGCCTCGGGTCCTCCCTTGATGTCAGAGTCAGCCCCAGCTGTGCCCTGAGCCTCCTCTGACCTTAGCTCCCACTGCAGAGCACCAGACCTGCCTGGACTTGACACCTCCCAGCCCTTGGTCCCACTCACAGGGCACCCGGGGCATCCACGAGCATCGGGTTGAAGCCCCTGCCCCAGGCCCCTGGGCTGGGACTTACCCTCAGAGCCTGACCCCACCAGCTGGGCCTAGGAGGGCACTGTGCCCACGCACACTCCTGGCCAGCCTGTGCAGACGGGGTGCTGCAGGCAGCAGGCGGGCCTGCCTGAGGGAGCCCTCTGCCACGCCCTTTCTCCTCCTGCCTCTACTCCATGGTCACAGCCTCTCGCCCAGAGAGCAGGGAGCAGTCAGTGGGGCCCAGGCCAGGGTGTTGCAACATCTCACCAGCGCGTCCTGGGCTGGGCCCCGGAGGGTGGTGGGT